ATACCGTATATACGTATACTGTCCCAATGGAAGGAGGATCGACGGTTAAGGATGCGGAAGAGGGAAGCATAGGAGTGACGTGGGATAAAAATTAAAGGATAATCGACGCAAAGGCCGACGGCAATAAGTCGCGGCATGCTGGACGTAACGCCAGTGGAAAGGACGAATGGAGTATAGGGAGGATCAGGGAGGATCAGGGACGATCAGGGACGATCAGGGACGATGGATCCGTCGGCATTTCTGGTTGTTTTCGATTGAAGTCTTTGAAACGTGAATTCTTCAGAATCCCAGAGATCCAGACTCGAAGATGCTTGGACGTTCTAGTGGAATACAGAGTGATACCCCATTGTGGAATCCGTTTGTTTTATCATTACCGACAACATCCAGGGCCCATTTTCCAGCGGCTATCCATTCGCCATTTCCATTGGAGCCATTCATTGGAAGATACGGTGGGTTTCTAAGAGGTCAACGAACCTGACCCCCTTGCACTGCTAAAAGGAAAGCCATCTTAACAGCATGAATAAGAGGAATGGGATGTTTTATTTGGTAAGATTGAAATTCCCACAGGAATCGAAATACCGAACGAAAGGGAATCTAAGGAGGAAAGGAGAAGAAGGGAATTTTCATTGACTTTCTTTGACTTTGCGTCTAAATGGAAATTCCGAATTCTGGAAAAATATCGGGTATAATTTAGATTCTACCGAGGAAACGTGGCTGCTGGACGCAAAGGAATAACAGGACGATGTCTGATCCTTTGACTATTCACATTTTTCCTCAGCATCCAGCATCCTCAACATGGATACGAATGGCCCATGTACATCTGTGCACATAGGTCTGCATCCAGCAGTACATGCAGATGCACCCAACAAAAGAACCAAGATCGAACGCGTATCTTTCCAACTAGTTCCCGAATAATATTTGCAATATAAAAGGATCTGGTCCATTGTACTTGGATGCTGCGTGTAGTCAGCCAGCCCCACTGGTCCCGCGAGTGGACCTGAATTTATTTCAAAGGACTCTTCCACGCTAACCCACTTTTCATCCGGTTCACCGGCGTACTCGCGATTGCGGGGAGGGATGAAAAAAAAAGAGAAGAAAAGGTTGAAAAAGAGAAGTCATAAACTCCATCATTATCAGCATTAAAAATGACTGCGTGCAACTCGTTGAGCGAATCGAATCAGAAAGAATTGCACAGATTAATAAACTTCTAGTTCAGATAAAGTTCCACGGGTTGGAATTGCAACGATGGCACTGGAATATACATATACTATACAGTACACCGGTTATACATTGTCCTAGGACTGTTATCAATGCACGTACTGTTATCGCGCGCGATAACCGCCAATGGACGAAACTTACGTAACTGCCTAGGGTCAACGTATCCAGTAGTTTTACGCAATTGCATGTTGGTATGCTATGAATAGCGTTATGCTAGTCAGCGAAAGCTACGAGTAGTGCAGCTTGATGAACAAGTCAGGCAATTGCAGTTGTTAGAGAAGGAAAGAGATTGCGAGAAGGTACAAGCAATTATAACTGGGTACTTGGAAGATCGTAAGTGCTAGCCGATTCTATGGAATTGACTGCTTCTTGAAATTCCACGCGATCTTATTCCTGCCGTATCGTATTTCAATGTGTAACTTTACAACCTGCAATTTTCTGGAAAGGCGTCTGTAACGTAACGCGTACGTGATCTCTAATTTCAGGATAATTCTCCTCGATTAAATCCGAAAGGCCGGAATTGCCTCCGTGCGGCTCGAGGTGAAATAAAAATTAACATGAAAAAAAAAAAATAAAATAAAAAAGATAAAAACACGAATCAGCGCAATGCGATTGGTCGGATATTACGTATGGTAATGGGTTGATTTTTTTGACAAAATGCACGTGCGGAATTTCAGGATAAACAAACCGAGGTACATCGTGACTCTTTGCATAATTGAAGCCATTCGATTCCACGTATATTTGAAGAAGTGTCTGAAAGTGCATAATCCAATGGCTGACAGAGGCTTGTTTGCACCTGGCTAATTTATCGTAGTTGGCTAATTAAAGGCCTGAAAGAAGCGAGTGATTCGGTTGAGCGTGTATACAGGGTGGGAGACTAAATAGATCGAAGCAGGCATTGATTCACTTTGCAATTACGCTTTTGCTCCTTTTTTCAATTTCGATCTTCGTTTGAGGCTGATTACTGAATTCTCGCTCCACGAGACCGAAGGAGTTTCAAAGTGCGCCGACGGGAGACTCGGGCATCAAATGTGACATAACGAAGTCGACGGCTGTTCTGAATTCGTGCTGAGCGGCATTAATTAATTCAAATTATTCGCCTCCTCTTTTTCACTCGTCCGGTGTTTGTTTGCGTACAATAAAGGCGCGTGCTTATTTTAGCCCGGAATTAATGAACGACCGAAGGTGGGAATTTCAGGGATTTTTCTTTAAATTGGCAAATTCTCTTTTTTTTTTATTTTCATACAATTCCTCGTTTGACGTATCGATTCCTCGTTTTTCCATACTATCTTAAAGTGTCACGGAAACGATCACAGGAGCGTGTAACGGGTTCGCGAATTATTTCGCAACGACACACTTAGCGATTTACTATACTGAGTCGACATTCACGACTCGCGTTGCTTTATGTAACGTCGGCTTAAAAGCTCGACCTATCGATACCATTTAAATCCAGTGTATTAACACGGAGAATTATTGATTCGCGATAACAAGGCTGCACAAATGTTAATGGTGATAACGGACAACGGTCGTGACGTAGTAGATCGTACGATCGTTTCACAATCCAAACCTTAAGCCTCACTCTGATACTACTCCTTTTGTTTTTACTCCTAATTTCTCTATTTTTCCTTTTATTTCCCAAATACTCTATTTTTCAAGCAACTCCTCCACGCAGTCACGTACCTGACTGTTATGAGTCTGTCGAATCTTTCGAGTTCCCAGTGACGTAATAGGGTCGTGAAAACCCAAAGCGATTCGCTCGACATACGAGAGGAAAAGGACGAGGCCATTATTGTTATGTTATTTAAGAGCTCGAAGTTACGAGAATGAATTATGCTATATTTACGATGCGATAACGGTCCATCCGCAGCCTCCGTATTAAATAATAATCTCGACAAGAGACCACAGAAAGGGACTTCGAAATTGGCTGGTTGCGTAAGCTGGTCCGCTTAAGAAAGGACGAACGGATGGACGAAGGAACGAAGGAACGGCGGACGTTTTTGCGAGGCGGCGTCGCGGTTCTTGTAGTCTTATAGAACGTGTATACATATATATAGCTAGTTATTTATATGGTCGGGCGTGGTTGTGCAGTCGGTCGGCCTCGTGTAACAATTACTCTCGTATTCCAGCATGCTCGACGATACCCCCCCCCCCCC